CCCCTTCTTAAAAAGAGGGACCACCACCCCGGTCTGCCAGTCCAGAGGCACTGTCCCCGACCGCCATGCGACGTTGCAGAGGTGTGTCAGCCAAGACAGCCCAACAAAATCCAGAGACTTAAGGTACTCGGGGCGGATCTCATCCACCCCCGATGCCTTGCCACCGAGGAGCTTCTTGACTACCTCAGTGACTTCAGCTTGGGTGATGGATGAGTCCACCTCCGAGCCCATTAATTAACATGAATTTTTTTATTATAGAAAACTACTTCCAGTACAGTTCAGAACAGTCACTTAAATGAGCATTTTGACATAGAGGTCACTTTCATCTTCAAAGTGCCTCTTATTCCCCATTAGTGCTGCATTTAGTTAGAGAAAAGGATGCCAGTCACGCACTCCTGCGTTCTTCAAAGAGAATGCTCATGTGTTTTCTCCTCGCTGCAGAATCATCACTTGTATATTTTATCTTGAATGTTTCCACTCCAATGGAGAGCCAGTCAGGGCAGTAGAGGTGGAGAAAGAAAGGAGCACAAAGTGGTAAAAAAGAAGGAAGTGATAAGGTTTGCAGGAGGAGGTGTAAGCACGAAAGAAGATGAGCAAAGATTTGAGTGAAGGGGAAGATGAAGAAGATTTAATGGATAAATGGATGGATAAATCCGGTGGGTTGCTTAGAAAGTCAAAGGTAATTGGATTGTGGGAGAATTTATATTTGCTCACTGTTTGGCTGTGCCTGGACTACCGGCTGAACTAGATGGTCTAATCAGCTTGAACACAGAAAGACCAAATGCTTATTCACAGGTTCCATTGACTGTGTCAGACGCTGACCCCAGCGCCGTTTCTGGTCAAACTACGGTTTTTAAAGGGTCGTGTGAAGGAACAGAATTAATTAGCTCAACCAAGTACCCACTGACCTCAGTACCATTGTGAAAGCACCTCCCTATCAACAGAGAATTGGTACAACTGAACTGCTTCAGTGGAGCTCAAATGTATTTTTCTGTAGGTGTCAGCTTGAATAGCTCTGGACATTACAATGTGAAATGAGGTGAGGAAAAGTTCTGCATATCCAAGATGATAATGAATTTCCACAGGGATTTTGTTTCTTTCTCACAACATCTACAGCACATGTGAAGATGGAGCCACCTTTTTCAATGGTAACAAGACATGCAGGTCAGTGTACTTTGATTATAGGCCCTAAAGAACAAATACCCACTGTGTAGGTGAAGCACTGCGGGGAAACCTAAAGAAGATATCTATCATGTTGTCTATGGCAACTGACAGGAGAAGAACATACTGTAATTTGAATAGCCTGATCAGTGTCTTTTCAATCTCACCAAACCTGCAGTTCTCAGCTTGAGAATGGTTGTCCATGCAAATTCTCAGTCATCCAGGTCATAGCATGTTAAAAAAAACTTAGAAGAAAGCATCTGTACGTAGTTTTAGGTAGAAGACGTTTCACCTCTCATCCAAGAGGCTTCGTCAGTTCTGTCCGACTGATGGTGAGCAGGAGGTATTTATCCCTTATATTATATATTTATCCCTTATAACATTTTCATAGTGAAATATGTCTGATATGTTCTTTACACAAGTCCCAATTTAAGTATATTTTTAAGGCAGGGGTGAGTGTTTTCATCCAGCAAAGGGGAAATGCAGTCTAAAATATTACATTTTAAAAAGGGCCACATGAATCACTGCACAGATACCTGTTGATTAGTCTGACTTGTTTGTTTTTTCTGGAGTCCTGCCAACACACATGCACATTATAAAGACTGAGCAGAACAGGGACATAAAATCTGTTTTGTACATTCATAGTACACATCCTACTGCATGTTTACATAAAACCAATTTAGTGCTCCTAGTGTAATAACACCAAACGAATTAGGTTTGATAGCTGATCCCTTTCTGTGTTGGTATAAACAATCCAACTGGAAGCAAAAAGTCCACTATGTAGCTGGAAACTGAGGAAAAAGTATATTTATGTGCTTGTGTCTCAAGTTGAGCAGTTTATGGGAGTGTTTTATGTGTGTGTTTGTGATGGCACACTGACAGGCCTCATGTTGTTTTCACGCCTCACTTGGCAGCGCCGTCTCCATGCCTCTCACAGTCAGGACAGATGGCAAGGACTTACCTCACTAAGAAAACCTCTACCACAAACACACATGATGCACAAGAACTTCCTTAGCACCCACTGACTTGTCTCTCAGTCCAACAATGAGTCATGCCTAGCATCCGCTCCCACCAAGTGTCTGTCTTTTTGTGTGTTTGTGAATCTGGCTGGCAGTATGCTTTGATACCTCACCTAAAGTCAACAAGTCAAACCAGTGCCTGCTGTACTTTCTAGTCACATCTCATTGTGCCTGCTGCCCACTTCAGTGCAGACAAGAGCCTTATAGTGAGAATAGTTTCAAACATCCATTCTACTTTAACCGTCCATTCATTATCTATAGCCTTATTCCTGAAATTTCTATTATGTACAGTACATGAACAGTAACAGACCTGGTGGTTTTTAGCTCTATCAACCATGAACAGAGATGAGAATCAGCCACCTCTTTGAATGTTTTGTCATTGGTATAAAATAAATAATAAGTCAGTTTTAGTGTAATTTACTGACAATGAGACAAAATGAGATAGTCAGGTTGTGTGTTTAAGCCATGCTCAGCTGATCTGTCTGCACTCACATATGTGGGTGGACAATTGGGTACCAATGTGTGTGTGTCTGAAAATTATGCATGTGTGAGACTGTGTAGGTGGACAACAGTTTGTTGCATCTGCAAAGCTAAACAAAAGGAATTCACTGCAGTCAAATACCACGTTGTTGAAGATCCAGTACTGTGCAAAGGTTTTAGGCACTTTTCATTTTAGATTCTTTAATCTATGTTTACAAGAAGAAACAGGTGACACAGAGTCAGCCTAAATCCACCAAAGAACTAAAGGTGCTAACACCAGTTACGGACTTGATACACGTCTTTTGCAGTACACTTTGTATGACATTAATTGATAAATAAAAGCTATTATTGGGATTATTTTTGAAAACATCTCTTCACCTTCAGTAACTAAAACCATTACACAGTATTGTACATGTAGCTGATGAGCTTTATGCTTGTACTGGAGCTTATTCATTTTCTACCTTGCAATTTACATGTTCCAAAGTAACCTCGACTGTGTTTAGAAGTTTACATTTAAAATGTCAGTGCAAAAAAAGTGAACCTCATAAACAAGCATGTACTGTGATCTTTTATCAACACAAATTTGAGTTGTTTTTAAAAAATAGTTTAAAAGACCCACATGAGATGAGACTGTTTCCTCCAGTCCCAGAATATAATGTCCATGCATTTACTCTGTACTGTATGGCTGTAACATTTAATTTCCTCATGTACAGTAATTATTTGCTATATAATTTATCATACTGTAATTTCTAATGATGACCAAACATTTTCATTTCTGTCTTCAAGTAATATTTTTTCTAATTCAGTTGATACATCAAAAGCAATATACCCATACCCAATTTATTACCAGTAAACTAATAGCAATCTTAACAAACCATAGAATTAGCCTAATTTTTTCTCTCAGTAGCATTTGATGAAATCTTCATATTGGTGAAAATATATCAATTTTTATTCTTACTGTAGCAATAAAGACTTGGAGAATCTCACAACACTGCAGTTAAGTGACTTTGCTGGATTTACATGAATGTCTCACTTATCACCATGTAGTCTGTTCACAGAGACAGTGATGAGGAAATATTACATTTTAAACAGGATCACATGAATCACTGCAGATACCTGTTGATTAATCTGATCCATGACCCATTAAATACAAAACCATGTAAATGGAGTCCTGATGTATGCATCCTAACATAGAGACAAACTTTAATGCAATCAAAATATAAACTCCAATCAAGACTAAAACAAACCATGTCAAGGCCTTTTGTAACTGGACAATGCATTCAGTCTTGGCAGGGTCATAAGGATGTTGCTGCAGTTCTAATCTTAAGGCCAGGGCTGAAGCATCTTCTCCATCAGGTTAAAGCGGACACGTGCTTTGCTCTCATTTTCAGCGACAGAGAAGTAATTGAGCAGGTCGAAATGTCCCATGTAGGAGCAGTAAGAGTCTCTGTGCTGGTTGACCAGCCATTCCCACTTGCTGGTGTCAGCATGTCCTGTGCCGATGTACTTGGACTGTAGATGCTCCAGCTGACTGTGGATGTTGTATCTGTCGGTCATGTCTGCTCAGATCTGAGACCCAGAGGCTCTGGACAGAAAAGAAAGAGAAAGTCAGAAGGCAATGCTGATGCAGAGTACATGCATTGTGATTCACTCATACATGATGATTCATTCATTCATTCATTCATACATTAGATTGATAGCTTATGAGACGTGATTTCATTGTTATGCAAACAACTGAAAAAGGTCATAAAAACATTTGTCGTTATCTTCAGAATCGCTTGATAATCTAGCTACCTGGATGGAAAATGATTTCGTCGTTTCGATAAAAAATGTAAACACGTTTGCCGCGATGCTACTCTCGCTATCCTTTCTAGCTAGTAGCGAGCTGACATCTTTGTATTTATTTGGAAACAGAATCACAATTTGAGAACCTTTCGTAATATTTCCGTGGACAGAGTATTTTATCACCTGCATGTGGAATTCCAAGATTACCTCCAGAACAGAAATTTAGCGTTGTAAAAGACCTTCTCATTTTACATAGCCGGTAAATTAATGTATGCTAACACAAGAGGCACAAACTGCGGCTAATTGCTAGAATTAACTCATGAATATGAACTAACGTTATTTTCTTTGTGCTTGAGTCGGTCAGTTCTTTGTCGGCATAACCATACAATAGAAGTAAATAGCTGAATAGCTTCGAATTGCTTGCTAGCGTGTTTATAAAGAAACCTTTAACACAAGCATGGTAACACTCCCTCAATAGTCTTCTGGTTAAGTGTGTGGCTAGGTTAGCTAGCGATATTAGCCCAAAAAGTCTTCTCAAACAACAAACTATACGTCTCTGTTATCTAAATGTGTGTTTCTCAATTATAATATGAGCATGAAATGCAATTGACACGTACCGGGGAAATTATAAAGATTTCAGGAGTGATATAACACGAATCTGTCCTCACTTTTGGCGAAGCAATTGGAATGGTGACTTCCGGTGCAGTCCCCTTGTAAAATGAACCGGTAAGAAACAAAGGCTCTAACCTTTTGTTCTCGAACTCAAATTCGGATGTACAGTATCTGGGTTGTACAAGGTTTACAATGTATGCATAATAATTCAGACTGTAATAAATGACATGGTTTGTTTATTTTGTATACTATAATTAAACATTTATGCAAACAAATTGTTAAAAGTGTTAACTGAATTTATTTTTGATAAGAAGAGATCTAATACTGGTCATTGGGCAACCACAGAAGAAAAATGTTAACTAAAAAAAAATGCTAACTAGTGTACAAATATCTACCATGTCATAGCAAGCCATCCCACAGATGGATCAAACTGGGGTACTGATAAATTGATTTTGCCATCCCTAGAGCCTTGCTGCTATGACTACAGACAGAAATGCAGTTTCTTGCCTGTTATCAAGCAGTGGCCTGTCAGAATGATAAAATTCAACCAATGGCTAAATCCAACATTTCCAGAGGTAAATATCACAGACAGGACATTTACCTATCCTGTTGCCAACCTATCCGTATTCTTCATCTTATTCAAACAACTGGGAAAGATTTAGAGCAATTTTTTAAAAGCTAAATCTTGTTCAGGCAAATTGTACATGGAAAAATGGCTTTGGCTTTTGCACCCACAAGACACACATGGAGAAAATTGCCTGAGCATTTAAGTTAAGGTACCTGTGGGAAAGGGTCTGAGTTAATCATATACAAGATCAATATTTTTATGTGTATAGAAATAAGTAGATTTTTGCCCTATGTATGCAACCATCCCAGATAGAGTTAGGCAGGATTAAGTGCAATGGGTCAAGCTCCATTAGCATTAAATCCTCAACAACATTTTTCATTAGACACCTGTCTCTTTCAAACTCCTCTTTATGATTGTCTTAAACCACTGCTAAGTCATTAACACAAGCTGAGTAGTGGTGAGTAAACTGATCTTTAGTCACAGGGGTGTGAGAGGACAAACACTGATAGCCAGTCTTTTAGTGAACTGACCTGGGAACTGCCAAGCTCTAGCAGGAGGCCAGGGTAATGAAATCTGATGGACGAATGGGATTATTACCTGACAGGATGGCTTCTGTGCCCCACAGTCCTGCTGAGTGATAGCCTAGAATAAAATACAGGCAATATTTCCAGTGATTTAAACCAACTGCATAAGATGGAGCCCATTCCCAGCCATGAGGCATCAGAGGTAGATAGAGAGGAGAAGTAAAATTACACTAGACCCTGCAGGGTTGTTACAGCATTGACTGGCTGATCGATGGACAGATGGAGGCAGATCACTGGCCAGCTGACAAACTGCCATCTGGTTTATTGGAGGACGAAGTAATGAGGTGGATGGTAGCTTTGCAGGACTCGGTGGTTTGTCCCGCTCATTTGCTTACTGATACATTCAACCAACTGGCCGGTTTGTTTTTCTGTCTTGCCTCCTGTCTATTTTCTTGAGGTAATCCATGGCCAATTAATTTCCCCACCACACCTGAGATTTTCTTGGCATATACTTCTTATTTTCCTGATGTGCTGTGCACAGTAAAACAGACTGTTCCTCTTGGTTAGATGATGAGAGCCGCTTAGCCATTCACCCGGGTGTGAAATAGCCTGAGAAAACTACTGCTCTGTGATGTCACTGGGGTGCTGGGTTATCAAGGACAGGAGCACTTAAATTGGATTTGGTGGATTTGGCACAGCTGTGAACATACAGTATCTCACTCCTTTTCACCCCTGCTTGTTCAGGTTTCATAAAGATTTTGTCTTTATTTGCTGTTAAAAGCTAATTATTTTTTCGCCTGATTACATATCAATCGAGTCTGAGCAAAGCCACTTATAGCAGTGGTAAAGACTCTGGCCTTTGGCTGTTTCCCTGGAGCCACTCTGAGGGCAGAACAGTAATTTATGAAAGAGATAACTGCATGGTCCAAGACACTGCATGACTTTTTCAAATGGCAAGGAATCACATTTCCTGTAAGTAAAGCTACAGCACTGAATCTAATTATTTAGGCCATGACTATTGGTACTGAGATACTACAATTTGTGCACCTTTCTTTATTCAGTGATATCAGATTATACATACAATGTATGCACTATGAATGTGTGCAGAGTGCATTATTACTTGCATTGTAATAAGATAAAGAATCTTACGACGTGTGCAGAGTACATTATTACTCACATTGTAATAAGATAAAGAATCTTACGAGTAAACATTAAGAGAATGTGCACATTTGCATAACCTAATAGCTGCCCCCTGTATGCAAAGCAGCATATTAACATTCATACTTGTTATTAATTCAAGGCTTGTTGTGATAGACTTAACCACTACCCTTCTTACTTATCTCCTACATTAGACTGGTTTTTATTTAAGGAGGAAAGGTAAAGAGCGTAGTGCGAGTCAAAATAACCAAGTCATATCCAAAACACATAAAAGAGGGTTCACACACTCGCACCAATCACAAATCAGCACAAGGGTAAAAATTCATAGGATAGTCACCTTTATAGTCTAGACATTCCAGCTATTCCTTCTTTAGTCTGCAATAGTCCAGTTTCTTGGTGAACCATGTGGTTACCTGTAATTAGAGGCATCCTTAGATCTGCCTTTCTGGAAACCTCAGTGTCATAAGTTGAAAGTTATACATACATTCACAAAACTATACACAAATGACATAAAAGCAATTAGAGATTATACAAAAACAATGGAACAAATGGGCACACTGAAAAACATTCAGAACCTCAGTCATTTACATTCTCTGACACCACTTGTGATGTGTGACAGTTTCAACTAAATAAAATGAAACATCTCGTTGATTTTTGTGTACAAACCATCTCTTTTTGTGCTTTGGTTCCATACAAAATATGCTTTTTAATTTTTTTTATTTTATACTATAAAATGTTTTTCAGTCATCTCATACAGACACTCATGACTTCAATATGAGGTCATTTTGATTGATTTGATTTGGTTTGGTTAATTAGCTTTTTGTACTGGAAAGGGCAACATGAGATCTGTATGAGAGTGCCACCTTTCCAGGAAGAAGGTTCATTCAATGTCACTTGATAATAATAGTTATGAAAGGACTAACCATGCTGCCAACTACAATAAGAGGCTCCTTGATGGCCCCATACATGACAAGAAAGAATGGAGGGCACATGATTTTTGTTACACATACACTAGCTGACTCACACTACTCACCATGCACACACACTTGAACACGCTACAGCGACAAAATTAGAAATGAAATTCTGTGATAACAGCTCAAAATGTCATCAGTGTTTGGAAATAGCCTGTGATTACTTCATTTCACATAAATCAAGGTGATCCCAGTTTGAAAACATAAAATGGCTTCAGTCCATTCTAATGGCCTCTTTCACTTGATTTTGACACTTGGTTATATGCAGCACCATATGTCAAGCTGGTGGCCACCTGCTGACTGAGGGGCTGGGCTTAGTGAGGAGCAGGGAACTGAAAATGAAACACACTTGCCCTAAAGCAGGCCTAATAATTCAGAACAATACATCATTTTAAAGCAGATTCATAAATAATGAAATTCTTACATGAAGCATCAAATTTAATAAGATAAAATGCAGAATTGCTAAAGTTCATGTAGTAAACGCTTAATATTCCAATACGCATTGTGCAGAAAAATAATTGGAAATCACAGCCCACACACCCTTTGAGGGTACATAATGCTCCTTCACACCCTCTGCCCTTGAGCTGTCAGTCATACAGATGTTCAGAGCTGTTTGCAAGAGATCTGCCATGAGGGAAAGTGTGGAGGGGGGAAAAAAATCAATGACTGGTCTATTTATGTGTGTAACTACCCATTCCTGTACACTTTACTCACTATGTGTGCTACTCCCACGGTCCTGGTATGGTGCATGCTGACTCGCTGTTACGACTTTCTACATAAACTGGAACAGAGCCATTGTTGACAGACAATAGACAGCTTCCCCATTAAAATAAAACAATTACCAGTATGTTACTCCTGTTGTCATATTAATAAATGATATTGATATGATTTCAGACAAAATTACTGTGTATGTACAGTATGTGAACAAGTCTGTTCATATGAACGTTTGTATTTTTAGCTTGTCTTTTTAACTCGTGTGTGTGCTGTATATGTGTACAGTACATGTCGCAATGATTGCAGTTGCTAATAAGAACTGATTTAAAAATGCTTTCCATTATAAAAAACTTTGAGAGCTGCTTCCAAAGCAAGGCAGTCCACATGTATGCACATCTAACTCAGATCCACTGTGACTGTCACATCCAGAGCTTGATTCAGACAGGAGACCCAGACAAGATATAAATACAGGCTCCATCGTATCTTAAAGACCTCGTAGAGCCTTATCATCCCAACAGAGCACTTGGCTCTCAGAGTGCAGGTCTGCTTGTGGTTCCTAGAGTCCACAGAAGCAGAATGGGAGACAGAGCCTTTAGCTATCAAGCTCCTCTCCTGTGGAACCAGCTCCCAGTCTCAGTTCGGGAGGTAGACGCCCTCTCTACCTTTAAGATTAGACTTAAGACTTTTCTTTTTTCATAAATCTTATGACTTTTGTTGTGATTTGGTGCTATACAAATAGAAGTGAATTGAAAATAATATTGAACAAATAAATAAAGTCTAATTATTTAGCAATTCAGGATCAGAAGCAAAATATTTGAATCAAATTTTAATCTGTCATTTCAATGGACAGGGTCAAAAATTCAATCTTTTTATAACAATTGGTCTATGGAACAAGGTTATGTGCTGGCATTATTTCATTGCTTAGTTGTGTGAATGCTGAATCGGTATTACATAGTCTAGCTGCTGTTAAACCCTTTTATTTAGGACTAGATTTCCATCCATCCATTTTCTACATGGCTTATTCCCAACTAGGGTCACGGGGCTATCAGAGGGCTGCCATGTAGACAAACAGGGGCAATTTAGAGTCGCCAATCAACCTAGGTTGCACATCTTTGGACTGTGGGATTAAGCCGGAGCTCACGGAGAGAACCCACGCAAGCACAGGGAGAACATGCAAACTCCACACAGGCCCGGGCCTGTGAGGCAACAGTGCTAACCACTGTGCCGCTGTGTTGCTGAAGCTAGACTTAGTAGAGTAACATGTGAATCAGCATTCACACAATCAAACACACTGCACTGATTGAAGCTGAAGCTTCATTTTTCTGTCAACACCATTCCATGGTGTTAATGAGAAGGCGGGGGGGGACTCATTTGCTTTTCCTTACAATGGATTGGAGGGAGTGGGACAGCATTTGACTTGTGCATGGGCTGGCACTGGGACTTGGTGGAGATGGATGGCACGCATCTGTTCCTTGATATGTGACTAGAGTCACTCTGGTCCACTGACTTAATCTCAGAGCTGGACTGAGACTTTCTGGAAATAGATGGCAAAATACTATGCTTTGACAGGTGACCATTTTCTAATTTGAGCTTTCTCAAATCATCTTTCATAGTCTTGTTCTCCTCGTTCAAGCTCTTATATTTTTCCTCGTATCCCTTGCAGAGTCCCTGTGATGCCATGAGCTGCTTGCTGAGGTCTCTGTTATGCAGCTGACACTTTTGGAGCTTCTCTATTGCATCCGCTGGCCGTCGAGCCAACATTTGCTTCAGATCTTTGATCTCCTTGTCTTTTTCCTCCAGATTGAGCTGGTACTGATGCTGGTGGAAGTACCTCCTAACAAAAAAGTGACGGTTCGAGCACGTTTGTGCTTTACACATAAAACCGCCCCGTCGGTGTGTCCGTTTAATGATCCACTTCAGTTTCATGTGATTGTAAAGACACTTGTGTGTCAAGTTCTTATTGGCTAAGTGGAGACTTTTGATTTGATCCTCTTGTCTGTCCTTATTCAAATTTATGTCAGCCAGGAGGTTGATCTTCTTTTGCTGCTGCTTTACCAGGTCTTTGAAGTGCACTAGATCTTTCTCGAGCCTGTTCTTCTCTGCCTCTACCTTGGCCATTTGCTTTTCTATCACATTCTTTTCATTATCAGAAAAGATTAAACACTTCTCCTGAATCTCTATGGCTTCTTCAAGCGGTTGCAGCTGTGTCATTGCAGACTGACATTGCCTGGTAGTAATGCTCAGCTGTGTGGTCTTCTTGTTGAGCTCATCCTGCAAACACTGGACTGTAGTGTTCAGTTCTTTAATTGTTTTGTCCTTCTCGATAATTCTTTCATGGGCCTTGTGCAAGTCATGAACATGGTGGTCTCGTTCCTTGATAGCAGTTTCAGTTTTGGCCGTCAGCACTATAGTCTTCTTCTCCAGCTCATCTAATGCACTCCTCAGATGAAGTACGTCGCCTTCATTTTTCAGAGTTTGCGCATGCTCTTGCTTATATTGACTTTGGAACTTAAGTTTAAGACCATTTATTGTGCAGATTTCCTCCTTCAAGGCTAGTATGGTGTCTTGATGGTTGTCAGCCTCTTTTGTCACTTTTTCCAAATCCTTTTTTAGAGCTGTCTTTTCTCCCTGTGTTTTTGCCAGCTTATTTTCCATAACCAAATGTGAAAATGATAACTCTCTCATTTTCTCTTTCAAGGTGGATATCTCCTCTTCCAGGTGAGACACTTTCTTCTCATCAGCATCAACTTGCTTTTTGAGTATTGCAATTTCACTTTCCTGCTTTTGAACTTCTTTATGTGAGGATTCACTTTTTTCTATATAGTATTTAACCCTAGCCACCTTTTCTTTATATTTTTCGGTCAATTTTTTTGCAGTTGTCAGCTCATTTGTTGTGTCCTGAATTTTCAAATCCTTGTTGTATAGCTGCTTTTTCTGTTCCTCTATTGTTTTTTTTGCAATGTTTAAATCTCTTTCCATTTGGTCCACCATCGTGTAAAGTTTTTTATTTTGGGTTTCTTTCTCTTGAAACCTGTGCAGCTCTTTCTCCTTTTGCTTCCTGAGCAGCTTCTCTGAGTTATATTTCTTTTGGATTTCCAGGAATTGTTTTCCCAGATTCTCAATTTTCTGAGTAGAAAGTGCTTTTTCGTAGGCTCTCTGGCTCTCAGCACCCTTAAGGTTGGTTTCAGCCTTCCTTAGATTATGTCTCAGGTGGTACATCTGTGATTCATATTGCTTGATTTGACTTTTTAGCTTAGAAACCTCAATCGGTTCCTTTTTCAGAGAGTCTGGCACTGACACTTTCTGCTCCGTGGTGTGCTCAGAGGTTTGCTCCGTCGTGTGCTCAAAGTTTTGCTCCAGGATCCATTTCTCAACTTGTGCTTTCTGTGATAGTTCAGGCTGTAGGGCAATATTTGTTATGTCAAAAATACTGCTTCGTTCTGAATAAGTCGTGCTTTCCTCTAAAGAAATCGTGCTTTCTGTTTCATCCATTTTAAATTTAAAAGTGAAACTAATTTCTTTTCTGTGTTTTTGAGTAAAAAACTACTCTGCTCTGGTCTGTTTGAGATGTAACTTCAGTCTGTGGAGTCTGCACTATGTACTTGTACTTGTAATACAAGACTCCAGTGATGACGTCATGATGACGTCAGCGGCAGCATCAAAGGCATGTGATGTTCCGTTTATTTTTGAACGGTTTTTTTTTTTAAACTTTATTTAACAAATCCAATTACATACAACTCATATACAAACAAGTACATAAGCACAGTAGAGGATTGAAAATAATTTTGTTTGTTATTTGTCTTTATCTCCGAGTGCACAGACAAGAAAAGCTGTGTTGAGTCTCAGATTAAGAATGAAGACATAGAAAGTAAAGACCACAGTACAGATTAGAGTTTACTCAGACCCAAGGAAAAAATAATTTGATGAAATTCAGAATAATATTTTATTATATAAATAAAAGTCAGT